TTACAATCCTGCCTTCTCCGAGGTTCGAACCCGGGACCTTTGGTATACAGCCCGGCGACTCAAACCACTATACCGTCTAGGCGGTCTAAATATAAATGTAAATGAAGCAACCTATTAAAGTGACTACTCAAAATTCCATTCCTTAATCTTGAGTGAATGTGGTGAACTTGCGTAATGATTAAAACCAATGTTTATTGTTCTCAAAAACACTGTTCGTCTTAGAGGGAGATAGTCACTAAGAAGGTTCACTGCAAGTATACATTATTTCTTAAAATTTTAGAACTGCGATGTTTTCTCTTTGCGGTGTTTTCTCCCACGATATTTTGTAGCACGACGTTTTCGCCTTGCGTTGTTTTCTCCGCGACGTTTTCGTCTGCAATGTATTTGCCGCGATGTTATCGGCGGACACCTCAACCCATTCTATCGGCATTTTTTCTTTCTTATTCTTTCACGTCCAAACACTGCATGAAGAAAAGCCTAGAAAGATAAGAAATACACTTCAGAAACAAAGTATATTTCTTTAATCAGTATTTTTAGTATCCTCGATATTCTAGAGCTTGGACTTGATACTACCCGGTCCTACCGAATTATTATTATTTAAATTATGCATTATTATTACCACTTCAGCCAGTAATGGTGGTTCTAGGTCTTCGTCTTGATGTTTTCTGAGGTGTGTCGTCTAAGTCTTTTGTCAATTCACCCACCATCGTTTCCATCAAGAGCAGTTTCGAAATGTTCTCGCCATCTCCTAAGTATTTCAGTTTGGTCATTAAAATGTTCACCATTTTTATCACATAAATGTGCATGCTAGCCTAAAATGTTTTTCTGGTATTGTTTACTACATTATGAAACTTTTATCCATCTTTCTGTGTTTAGAGATACTGTATTTTCTCTTAAATCTTCTTCCAATATACTCTCTTCTTCATTTTGAATAATCTATTTTCCTGTCTTCTAATTTCTCTGTACTCATCCTCAGTATTTCTTGTATAATTGTTTTTGTACTATAAGATGGTACGAGTGGTTTTCCTATTTTGTTAATTATTTCACATTTTTCATTATACTAGCCCTATGCTTTCTTTTTTTAAGGGCTGGAAGCATTTCCTTAGCTGCTTCTAATATTATAGACTTAAGTTTTCTCCACCTGCGATACTCATTATTCTCAGTCTCAGACATTACAAGCTTTACCTTTATTTTGACTAAATAATAGTCAGAGGCTATGTTAGCCGCTCGATAACTTCTAACATCAAGTAAGCTACATTTATGCCGTCAATACATGATAAAATCTGATTCAATGTATTCTCATCTGGGGAGCTCACAGTATATATAGATATATATATATATATATATATATATATATATTTTACACTATATTATATATCTATATATTATATTATATAATATATATATATATCACAAATTTTACAACATCATATATATATATATCTATATATATAAATGTGTAAAATTTGTGCTCTCGATAACCATTTCGGCATCCATTGCAAATCGCAAAGGTATATTTCCATTGTCATTGAACTCGTTATGCAGGCTATGCTTTAGATTTGTACACTGAATTTTCTACCTATATATGCATTGAGATCTATCATCAATCTTATACCATTAGATGGGCATTTGTTGTAAGTCTCTTCCAGCTTATCATAAAACATGTCTTTTTCTGGTTACTCTTTGTCCTCAGTAAATGCATGTACACATATAATGCTCATATAATATACACACACATAGTATATTTTATGGTGTGATCTTTACTCATATTTTGCAAATTCTTTCATTAACAGGTTTAAAATTCCTAACTTTATCTCTAATTCTATTATGTACCACGAACCCTTTACCAAAGTGATTCTGTTTATCTTGAGAGCTAAAATATAGGCTGCTTCCTTTCCTAAGCGTCTTTTCTCCTAAAGAGACAGTATATCAGTTTTGTATCTATTAACTATATTTTTCAGTGCTCCACTCTTAAAAAACTTGCGTACATTCCATGATCTAATCCTCATGTCCTTCTTCATTGCATGTCTTCTGGATAAGGTCAATCCGGTTTTTTTTTCCTGAGATTTCCTATCATGTAATTTTTTACAGGATGAAATTATCAGCCTCACGCCCAACCCCCAGCCTGGAGAACCAGTCCGCTGATATAATCCGCACGGACAGAGTAGCAGACTATATACCCGAACACTGGATACCTATTTTTGTCGCCTTTAATGACAAGCATAGGCAACTTCGGGGCTATTATTCCACACTCGGTTACCATACAAGGGATTTGATATGTTACAGACACCAAATGATGTAAACAGAAATTTAAATAAACCGCATGTGTTGTTACAGCAGTTTTTTGCAGTGTCAACTGGATTAACATTGATCAGGTGATACGCGGGAACTAAATTTAACATTGTAAATACTCTATTTCCAGTAAATACTTAGCTACAATCCTAGATATGGGAGAGGGGAAAACGGTCCGGAACAGTGATGATAACACTGTTAGACGGTCTGTGAGAGGGGAAAACGGTCCGGAACAGTGGTGATAACACTGTTAGACGGTCTGTGAGAGGGGAAAACGGTCCGGAACAGTGATGACGATAACCGCTGCAGGACGGGCATGCGCCATTCGGATTTTTAATCGTATGAAGAGAGCTTGCCCAAGCTCTTTCACAGACGCACAATACTCTGCGCCAAGACAAAGTCAAATTCCTAACGAGCAGCCATGAGGACGCAGGCGATAGCCGACGAGGTTTAGAAAATACCGGAGGTCCCCTTGGTCTCAGTATGGGGAAAGATATTATGGTTCGGTCGCTCTTTTAGACATTTATAAAGGAGTAGTAATTTCTGAATAATCAGTTAAGGATTTTATGAAATTTGGAAGGACTTAAAAGAACGCTTAAGGTATATGTTAAAATACTCTCAGTAAACTCAGACACATGATATTGTTATTGAATCCTCACAGATTCTTAGCGCACGTGCATTTAAAACCCTATATCACACACATGATCCCGCATACACATTTGGTGAGCACCCATCGAAATCACGAAAATATTTGAAAATATCTACGGCTTCTCTAGTATATCACTCTTGTCGATTTTACACTTAATGAACTGAATAGACGATGCGTGCTCGAACTTCACTTATGAGTCACCATTGTGGGATTATCAATGTGCTAGGTCATAGCACAACACTGAAAGAGCCTGGATGATAATTCGCTTAGTAATATAAATCACTAGTCATCCTTCATAACAACTTTTATACTTAAAAAACATAAGTCACAAGGATACAGTCTACACCACTAACTCAAATACAGACAGGTTACAGTTAAATACATAAATGTTTCTTTTTAGTTAATGTTACAGTTAGAAAGTAAATGAGTGTTCAAGAATGCAGTTATGGTTAAACCGCCACGTATTTAAAAGAGCAGCTATCTTTCTAAAACAAATATACTGTATTATATTCAATAAAATCAAATACATTTAACATTTGAAAAAACATTAAAAAATCAAAAATAAAGGTTAACGTGCGCAATGCGCGTTTCGCTTGTAGCGACTCATTCAGTTTTCATCTAAATGGACTTCACGAAAGAATACAGTAATCTTTCATTGTTCAGAATTGTGGCAGTATTTATAATTAATACAAAATTGTTAATGTATGTATTTATCTTTTTATCCTATCAAACTGCTCTCATTGTATACGAAAAAGTGATAATGTGCATGTACATCCTCAGAACAGCTTTTCGCAGTTTGATAAGAAGAAACACACTGATGGAATTCAGAACTTCTAATGTAAAAGTACCAATGTTCTAAAATTTCGACACTTCCCAGACTGCAACTTCTTTTGCTTTATTTTTGGTTATGTACATATTTTCTGTGCTTCTATCATATAGACAACATTTGGCTTTAGATGGAATGCTAAGAACAAAACATCTTATTTTAAGCATTAATTTATGTAAATGCGTTCATTTCCACACAAAGTGAGCATTATTTCAATTTAGGAGTAATCATAATATTGCATCAAAATAATGAATTTTATATAAGAGAAAAAAAACTACATAACATTAAAGACAATATATCGTTCAAGAAATTAATAATTATTACTGAGATTTATTAGATTTTGCTTTTAGGAGTGATAGAATGTGATTATTTTATTCTGCACCTCTTTCTATATTCTAGATATATGCTTTTTCTTTACCAAGTGTGGTCCAATGTCTTCTAAGCTATTGCACCCTAAAATGAAAAGAAAAGCATGGAATAGAATTCAACATTTTAAAGGTTTTATATAAAAGGTACTTTGAAAATTGCAAACTATCTCAAGGAAACTGTAAATGTCACTGAAATTCAAAAAGAACAGAATAATGATAATAATTACTTGAAAGATTAACATAAAATGAGGAAATTTACCATATTAATATTTAGTTAAAGATTATTTAATAAATATATACATCTATAGCTATAATGGAGGGAGATTTAGATTAATGACATTATTAACAGAAGTTGTTTCATGAATGTATTTTGAAGATAGATGTATTGAAAAATCCTGAGCTTAATGTAAGGGATTTCAATAGCTATATGGCTCTTAGCGTTTCAAAAAAAATGTAAGAGCTAATTGAAAGCACAGCGACATTTGGAAAAGTCTAAGATATGAATCCATTTGTTTGAAATTTGATGTTTTATCAGCTTTATATAAAATTAATAAGAAACTGTTTTCATTTTTCAACATTGCATAAACTTAATATTAATCGTGAATCCAAGCAAACTTTTGGTTGAATATCAGCGAACATTTGGTTTCATATAAATATTTTAAATACCTTAAGAGACAGAAATTGACTGAAAAAACAGAAGTTGATTGAAAAAAATATCATCACGAAATTTGCTTCCGTAATGATAATTGTTTTTCATTGCAATCTTAATTTTAGATCCTTTTTTAATTCTTTGTTTTTAGTTGTAGAATAATACAATTTATTACTAAATTTAAAGTCTCTACTACAATCCTAAGATCATTTTAAAAGTTTAAACTTCTCCATATCAACATAGTTTTAATTCTATGCTCCAATAATAGAATAGTGATCAATTACGTCAAAGTATTTCTAAAAAAGATTTCTAAAAAGAAATATTTCTAAAAAAGAAAGATTCATATAATGACATAAGTGAAAGCAAATGTAATGAAAATTTGAAATTGCTTAGATTTTGTTATATTCATAGCATAATATTGCATTTCAGATAACAATATGCTGATATAAAATTACGATATGTATGAAAATGAAATAGTTACAAAGTTAAAAGCTACAAATTCAATGTAAACAGGTAATTTTTCGCAGCATCCAAAGCTGCTTTCTTGTGAAGTTTCTTGGGGAATCAATTTTGTGTTAACCTCAATAACTTGTAATAAAAACTGTCTAAGCTATGTTAAAAGCCTTAAATCTTTTAAAGACACCTACATCTGAAGAATTAAAAGGTCCTAGACCAGGAGTTCTCAAAAGGGTAAGAAATTTCTTCTCAATAAGAAAATATTTTACAGTTTCAGGGTGGGAAGATGGTTCACATTTCTAATAAATAGACAATCACTTAACCTCATAGAAAACTCCAATTGTTATGTGATTAAAATTACACGACTTGAAATAGGGGAAGTATATTGACCATTACGTAAGCACAATAAGACTAATACACAAGTTTCGCTACTAATGTTTATTACATACAAAAAATAATTTATATATTGTTTCGGATTTTGTATTTAGTTAGCTAGTTTCGGTATAATTGTAATTAGAATTGTTTTATTTTCCCGTGTAATGCAGCACGTGACGAGTTTTAAGAGAAAGTTACTCCTAAAAAGTAAAAAGCACGCGCATTTAATAAATAGATATCTCTTAATTTATATTCAAACTGAAATAATGCAATTGTGTGTTAGCTTTAACTATAATTCTACTCTTTTGCTTTCCAGAAACCTCGAGAAATTACGAGAAGCTTCTCGTGACTGATTAAAAAGCTTATAAATGCCGGAGAAAAACGTCTCAGTTCAGTTGTTTAGTAAGTTTTTGTTCTTGATTGTATCGAATTCGCGGTGAGATCAGATTAGCGTTTTCTTTGGATTGCATTCTATTTAAGTTTTAGTAGTTTAAACTATAACTACTGCATGGTATTGTGATATTGTATGAATATCTGTGAGGAAAAACTTCAGCGTTTTGCTTTATTTCTTGTGATAATAAATTTTGTTAACTTTTCCTCAGACTTGGGCATTCAATCTATTACGAACCCGTACGCACGCAACAATATTAATAACGAGAAAAATATTACACTTTTATTAAACATAATATGCTTTAAATGTTAAATATTATTTTGAATGTACAATTTTGAAAGAAACTGGGGCGAGTAATGGCACTCTTTCAGATGGTAAGAAGGGCGAGGATAGAGCAATAAAGGTTGAGATCTATTCAGCAAGGTAAGTAGAAAATATCTTAGCTAGGTATTAGTATTGCGGAGACAATTATAAAGAGCTATCTTCCAAATTTTCTACTTCCCAAATTTTTTCCAAAATTTCCAATTTTTTAAAAAAGAATACATCCTAATTTATAATTTTAATATTCTTAAGAATTTATGCTTTAGAAAAATACATCTTCATTTTCTTAAATTCACCGTAGTTGCGTCAAAACTCATTCTATAATCTGCTATGTATGACTCTTTAGCTCATTGCTTTAACAGTACTCAATAATTTCACTCAAAAGCTTTGGCACAGCAAGTAATTTTTCGTTTCCATCTCTCGAAACTAATACTGATAAACAGCCAACTCCTTAATCGCTAGTAATTTTCTCCAGCATTTTAACTTGCCTGGATGACAACTGAAAGATTGATATGAAATATCTAAGACAAATTCGTTTCTTGCTTTAATTAATCTCAGGGCTTCCCGGTCCGATAGCTTGTTCTTTCTTCATGCACTTAAAATTTGAACTCCATATGAATCCTTTTTGCCACTCACAGGGTTTTCTTTTAATAGTCGTCCAACCTTCGTTCCTCAGTTAAGATATGCACAATATGCTTCTTCATCATCAGTGGCATTGTCAGAAATAGTACATATGAAGTTCTACTTGTGATGATGCTTCAAAAGCTGATATACTTTACGTGCTTTCCTTCTATTCCTTTCTACGCTTGAAAGATCTTTTGATGAAGCCACTTATTAGTCATAATATTTTATGGTTGTTAAAGAATTCTGTAGGAAAATTCTCCAAACATGTAAAGCAACTTCTTACAATAAGAAAAAGCCAAGCCAACGTAGGTCATGAAAACATGACAACTTACACATTATCCGGCAATCAAAACAGAATTAAATGACATTATATCTTAACAACAAACATAAGTGCAATTAACCTATTACTACTATACTGCACACTCAGTTTTTGACAATGTAAGAACTTTCTTAACACTTAGAACATCAGTTCAATCCTCATTTGACATTGGTGGGCCCAAGGTTCATCATGAAAGTTGAACAATTTGTTGATTCTTGGATATGTGCCCCCTAACGAAGCCCTATATTTAACTTCACTATTCCTGGTGAAATTCAAAGTATAATACATAATTTGGACATTAAAAAGCAAAGGATTTTGACGGAACAGCAGACAACATGTTACGCAATTTAGCTACCAACACTACCGTTAAACTCATTATCAACACCTGCCTAAGTTAGTTTCCCAATTTCCAATGCTAAGTTATTTTCCCAATTCAAATTTCAGCTCAATTTACGAACGCATTAACTTAAAAAGGATGTGTACATATCTTCAACTTTCTTCTGACCAATACGGATTCAGAAAGTAACTCTCTACTTCAAAGTAGCTGTAAAATTAGCATATATGGGATTTTTGTAAGCAAATGCATTATTTGCCAACTTTTTATAATTTGCATAGGTAATTTTTCGTAAATATATAAATTTTTGGATTATTGGGCATCATTTTCCAGTTTGTAAAAAACGTTAAAACGTTTATAAATACAATAAAGATAGTGTAAATATATGCAGGATTGACTAGTATAAAATTCTAAACTTTGGACCACTTTAGCATTCGCTAAATAATATATTAGAAAAAACTGTAAACATTAAGTATGATTATTCTGCTTATATCGAATATGCCACCCAAAAACAATAAATGCTAAAAGTAAAAGAAAAAAAAGCATAATTTACCAGCTAGATGCATTGCTCGATCTAATTCGTTTTTCAGGATTTCTAATACATGTCGCACACCATCCTGTCCCTATGAAGGAAAAAAAAGGCTGAAAAAATACGCAATTTATGAATAAAAAAATCAAATTCAGTTGCTTTTTTACTAATTTGAAACAGGGTAGGAAATATAATTGAAAACGTGAAAACAGAGCCTGAGTGAGTGCATTATTTTCAGTTATAAAGAGATTTCGTAGCACCTAGGAATCAGGAATTTTTATTGTAGTTATTTAATTACGCTAGAAAAATTTAATTTTATTTATGAATCAAATAATTCAATGCAGCAAAATGTTGATCCTCTAAAGTTAACGAATGCAATCTTTCAGAACATATAAACGATATTCGATTAGGAATGCATGCAAATATCAAATAAAATATTAGATGAAAATCAGTCTTCGTTACGCCTTGTTTTTAGAAAAAAAGCAGGTAATTGATTGTGAAGACTTCAAGTATAAGGGCACTTCAGAACATTTGAAAATTAAAAGGTATGCATAAACTAATACACATACACAAACTGAGCCAAGTGCCCTTTTAATAGAACAAAGATAGTTTGCTAATTCTTGAAACGATTCTTGAAAGAGCGGCGGTATTCTTCTAATAGAGATCCTAGGTGATACCTTAAAATTAATATTTTGGGAAACAAATGTGCAGTATTCAATTATTCAATTCTTTATTTTTAAATAATTTTGCCAGTAAATAAATATTAATGACCTGCAAAATTTAAATACTCATCCTGGTTTATACAGAAACACACGAAAATTCAAAAATGAAAATTTTACTAAAATTATGACATTCTTTTTTTGTGGGAAATAAGAAACATTGCTGGGAAGGAAAACCAATTACAGGAAGCTTAAGAATACTGGAATAGTAATCATTAGCATATCTTTTAGGATTTACAGTATAAGTTAAATATATTATAAAAAGTATACTATTTACAATAATTGTAATTTTCTTTCAATCTGCATTCATGTTTTCTTAGAATGTTTGACTTGCTTTTAAATTCTTAATTTCTGAAAATTTCTAAAATGGACATATGGCGCTTTTACTTTGCATTTTAAGAGCGCTTCACAGCATTTGAAATTTAAAAGACCTGCATAAGTTGACACACATTTACAAACGGAGAGACAAACACGGAGAACAAAGCAAAGCAAAAAGGTCTTATTATATGCTAAGACAATAAAAGTATAAAGAAAGCTTCTAGGATTAAAAGCATTTAAAATCAAATTAGCATCAACTACTAACAGGAATTCTAAAACCTACTCTTCTCTAAAGCAAGTCTTATGACATTTAACGACAAGAGATTATGACTATCAGTATGAGAATACGATATGTAACAAGCAACAATTCTAGATTACAGTACTTTAAAAGCATATAAAGATGACGAAGGAAACTATACAGATTTTCATAAGGTATAAAAATCAAATTCATTAATGAAATTATTTTCTTAAATTCATCTAAATGTGGTATTAAAATGTTTTTAATTTTAAATTTTGATGACATATAGGGTGTTCAGAATCCCACAGAAACGCACATTTTAGGGTACGTAATTTTGTACACATTCGGTTTGCAGTGATTCTCATAAATTATACATACTCTTAAGTATAACGGAATAAGTTATTAATATATTACATATGTTCATTCAGTAATAGTATGTTAAGTCAGTTTTGGAAAGGCGAGAGCATGAATTGTTCGAAAATAGAAAAGATTTACTGAGTCTCTTGTAAGGAGCAGGTAATAAACACTGTCCTACTGTGTCATTATATTGAATACTTTCATATCATTGTCTGTCATTATACTGAATTGTGTATTATTGTACTGAATTATGTGTTACTGCACTGAATACTTTCATATCATTGAATTGGATACTGCCATAATGAGCCTTTTCTGTATTTAATATTTTAGATGAATGCATAAATATTTTTATTCCTTAACAACACAAAAATGTGTAATTGGAACAGAAACATTCCAATGTAAAATTTAAGATTAGCCCACCCCCGGAAAAAAAAAAGAAAAGAAAAGAAAAAACTAATTTAGTGTAAATTTTGAAAAGAATTCTTTCGTTTTCGGATAACGGTTTCGGATAGTGGTTTGATAGTTCTTCTCATTTCAGCAACGAAAAGTAGAACCCAAATAAATAAATTTTCGATTACTAATCGCAGTTAGCCATTTAAGTATAATTTTGTCTCTGTTTCTGCGAAAACTATCCACAAAGATTTTTCAGGTGAATTTTCTCAAAGCTTTTCCCATTCATAAAAATTACATTTTGGCTTAATGACATAATTCAAAGCCGATCGCTTTCGAAATTATAACATTTTGGCCTAATCCCATTTCAGTAGTCTTCTGTTCGTCAACTGGCACTACATTCTTTTTTTCTTTGTTCCCCCTATTTATTTCTTAATGCATATTATTATTTGTTCCCCTATATTTCAAGAAATATTTTTTTTCTGAAGCAGAGAAACATATGTCTGAATGCTTTTAAAATTTTAGGAGTCTACGCAGCTGCTACTTATATTCTTAATTTTAAAGTAGCATTTCTGTAGTGTTTTATAATTAAATTTAAGATGACAGCTTTTTGTATTAGTCTTATAACTAAAGAAAATAATGAAATACACTTAAAAAACTGAAAAACGCAGCATAAAAACCGTTCTTTTGTTTCAAGGCAGGGTTATTTTTTACAGCTTTTTTGTGATTATTATAATTATATAGTATGAGGTTCTTCCCATTTCAAATAATGTCACCCATTGAAAGAAGTGAAAAATATACTCCCTTCTTTTTTTTTTTTTTGATTTTTTTTTGCTGAATTTCATGAGTTACGAACATTAATAAAAAACTTTATTTTTTATTTAGTTCTTAGGATACGATCTGAAATTTGTGATATTAGATTTATCAGTTTTATTAGTTTATTATATTATAACTAACTAAAGAAATGCATGAAAACTTACATGCTGAAAGTAAGTCAGCAATACTGTCAGTTAAAATTATAGGGTTCCAGCTTCTTTTACAACTAAGTGTGTGGAACCTTGAAAACTGGTAAGCGAACAATCACTTTAGCACAGGAAACAGAAACGTAAACTCAAGAAGGGTTAATTACACTTCATTTCTCGAAATAAGAATTTGCAGATGGCTCCTGTCTTATAACGTACAGAAAAGCCTCCACTTGGATTTGAACTCAAGAGTACTAAGAAATCAAACTTAACTAATGCTTAACTTAAAAGATATAGCCGACGCTATCAAAATTCTAAAGGAGTTGGCTCCTAAATGTTAACTAAACGGCGAAGCTATCAAGGGCCTGAAATACTGCCTTAGAGATAGCTTAGAGAGAGTGTAGCCAAAAAGCGAACGCGCTCTAGTCAGAATCTCTAGCTCTCTAACGAAATCAGTAGATTAAATCGACTTAAATACCGCTGTTCCTTCATTTGCATTAAGCGCGATTCTAAAACCACACTCTGGCAGGAAATTGTGAGCTGAAATAAAAAGGACAGGAAAGTAGCTTTAACTAAATATAACTGTTAAAATCTTAGGGTAAACCTTACAAAGTATAGAAATCTAGTCAATAACAAATGCGATTACGTATCTGATATTATTTCAGAATTAAGAGGATAAATTAAAAACATTTCATTACATTCATTTTGCGATAGCGCTGTTTTCATTTACTTCTGTGCTTTCAGAAGGTAATTCTCATGTGGTATTAAGTACGAAACTCTAGCTATATATAAAAGTCAAGTTCCCAGCTATATATAAAAGTTTCCAGCTATATATAAAAGTCAAGCTATCGCCTGAAGATTGTATTTACACATCAGGTGACAAGAGAGAGCAAAATTTTGCGAAATTTTTATTTTATGAAGCTCATACGAACACATAAGAAATATGTATTTTTATTCTTGTTGTTTGAATGTATGACAATTGATATATCGATACATGACTTGTTTCAAGCTGGACAGAAAAACATATGCAAACTATTATCCATTTCACAAATTTGTCCCATTAAATTTTTTAAGTAAAACTTTAAATAAATTACAGCAAGAATTTAGCAATGAAAAACAATCAGATTTATACGAAGCTAGGTTCAAAATGAATAACAGTGTAGAATTAGGTTTTTTTTTTTTTTTTTTCTTTTTTTTGAAGCAGAAGATGTGAAGAATGTGCATTGCTTTCCCCGGCACTCGAACTTGGATTTCTCCAATACGCGCCGATTGTGCGACCGTTACACCACGAAGGCATGTGGAAAAGACGAAGAAAATACCTTTTAACACTTTTGAACGAAATAATAGAAAAACTTCTTTCTTTGAACTTAATATTAAATGGTAGCACATTTCAAAAGGTAGCATCATTTTTCTTCCTTAGTGCACCGAGCATATGAGTAAATTCAAAACCGCCCTGAATTTTATAACTTGATTCAAATTTAATTTTAATTTTAATCTTAAATTTTGAATTACAAGCATTCCTTTTATAACACGATAGATACGTTCCTAGAAAATATCGTACTGTGTGAAACCATGTTATACGAGACTAACAACTAATACATAATAGAGGGATGCGTTCCGAATACTTTTATTTTTTTTAATGGCCTGTTGCCTGATTTAAATTTAGACTGTTTGCAAAGTGAAAAGTCTTTTATACTTTTAACAAACAATTCAAAATTTGGGTTTCATCTCCAAAGAAACAAATTCTTTAAAATATCATTTTCTTACTTTCAGACATACTGACTGGACTGAAATACAATTTGGCAATAATTACTCCTAAAAACGATAAAAAAATATTAGTAACTCCACACTAAAAATGTTTTTAACAAATTTCTTACAAAACACAATACGGTAACTTATGCAGAGCACAAATGATCAGTTGGTAGATCAAGTATTAAGAGCAATAGTAGTAAACAAGTAGAGTAATAAACGAGATACATAATGTATAAATGATGAGCAAGACTCAATTTCAGAAAAATTTCGATGTGAGAGGTCGCAGGTATTTCCGAAATGGATTTTATTTTTGCGTGCATATGTAAATAGGTTGTTATTGATCATGTTCTTATACATGATCGCATTGTATGTAACTTAATTTTGTTAGTGTTTAAAATAAAAATCGCGTTATCGAAACACGTACGTACATATAGTGTTATAAGAGGTTTTACGCATATTAATTAACTAGACAGAATGAAACTGTGCTACCATGCTATATGAGGGTTTCTACAATTTTCTTGCCGTGCAAGAGTGGAACAGTGTTATAAGAGGGATACCTGTACTTTCCAATTTTTTTTCCTGAAATTAAATCTCAAGATGATTTATTGCAGCCATTTAAACAAATAAGCATAGAATTATCTAATTTTAGATATTTATGTGCGTGATTAAAAAAAAAAAACTCATGCTCCATGGAGTATTTAAAATACATAAAAATATTTACTTACGGAATGGGCAAGACCCCACAATGCAGGTCTTCCAATGAATACTGTTTTGGCACCAAGAGCTAACGCTTTAAAAATGTCACTTCCCCACCTAATGCCACCATCCATATAAATTTCACAATTAGTACCGGCGAGAGCGGCACATATTTCAGGAAGGGCATCCAACTGCAAGAAATGATATGAATTCAAACTCGAATTCGTCTGTGGTAAAAACATGTTGTTTACATTCTGTGGAATTGTTAATAAAGTAATTCAAAAAGATTTTCTTCAAAATTACAAATATGCATTCACAAATTTGACACTATAAAAATATATAGTTATATACTAATAGTATTCTATTCTCTAATTAAAAATGTTTTGTTTGGTTCATGTGATTACGGCAGAGCTTCGAGGGCTACCTGCCGAAGGGGAGGAATGCCTTCGTGGAGGTCTTACTGAAGGAAACGAGATCGTATATACATTACAAATGGGGAAATCAACGAAAGTGTTTATGCATCTAGCCCCTGCGTGGGATTCGAACCTCTGACCGAAAACCAACGTTCAACGACTTTACGGCTCGACCACTGAGTGGGTATCTAATTAAAAGATTTTTGACTATATCGTTTTGCATTGTGTTGTAAGAATGAAACTAATAACTATCTCATTGTTAATTTCAATATGGCGATCACAATATGAAATATCTTGTAGATCTTCAGATTGATATAGCAGCTTTTGGTAGGAAATTTTCCACGCCAATTCAAACGCTAATTTCAAGTTAACAAGAGAATTAACCAAGGAAAGCTTTCGTAAAACTTTTGAGCTCATTGACTTAATTTAATTTAATATCTGCTAACTATATTTTCGAAAGAATCTTGGTTTAATTTATGTGTATATTCGAAGTGCTTTAGTAAGTTAAAATTCATAGATCATAGACATTTAGATTATAGACAATGTTAAGATTACAGACAATGCTGATAAGAATAATGATAGTTAACACAATGAACTGATTTTGGGAATCATTAGAGTATTAAAAAGTCTTTCTTGTTGCTTTAGAAGAAAACTTCATAAACTCTGTAGAAATTGTTTGTATGAAAAAGCAGTAATATGCTACAATAAAAGCATGTACTACATTTTCGTATGAACCGATTTTAATGACGCAAGTAGAGTTCTTAGTAAAATAATAACTATCAACTTTATAATTTAAGGTATCTTGCATTTATAGTAACCATACTAATAAGATATTCATTTTGTATGAAAAAATACTATATAGACTTTATGCAAATAAATAACTACTTTTCTTTTAATATTTTAAAACTTCTACAGAATATAAAAATTTTAATTTTCTGTTCTAGCCAAGAGAAATGCTTTCAAAATTAATTGCTGGAAAACCTGCTAGAAATTCTGTGGACTACAGCTTTCAGTTAGCAAGAAGATGAGAAATAAAGCATTTCAACTTCAATTACTTGCATATTTTGAAATCTAGTTTACATGTTTATGTAATATTTGATTTACCTTGCGAATCTATTACAAATTATTTTAGAAAATTTATTTCAGTTTTGCTCTTTAATTATTTATTTCTTTGAAATATTTAATGAGTTTCATTTTTCAGGATGCTTCTATTTGTCTTAGATAACCATTTTGAAGAAATGTTTTTGCAAACCAAAAATCTAGCAAATGTTTATAAATAACGTTTGTTATATTTGATATCAAAATAAATCATTGAAATTTAGAACAGAAAAGTCTAAAGGTAGAATGCGTTTCCATTCTGTATTGTTTTGTGTTGCAACAAAGTATTATTTCAAGTTGTATTGAATAAATAAATCCCGAAATTTTCTTTACGATCAATAACAGCATAATTTTAGGAAACTGATAAGGGCTGTCACATTGTTGCTCTGTATGACCAATCCAAAGCATATATATATATCAGAATGGAAAAATAAAATTAAAAAGTATTCCGCTTTTTTAAACAGATACTATAAAATATATGATATTCTTAAAAATTTAAAAGTACTCTCTACCAATAAGTATCTGGAAACCTGTAATAGAAAAAAAAAAAAAAAAAAAAAGAAATTTATTCATATTCAATAGCTGGAAAGCCTCCATGAGAGGCAATTATAGCCTCAACACTCGGCGGCATGCTTTCCGCAAGTCTTTATATGACGGCTATTGATATTTTCTTCCAGTAGACTTGGGGAAGACATTTAAGTTTCTTCACCAATGTTGGGCCGCTTACTTTCGGCATCTAACTCGTCACAGAGGTTCTCAATAGGATTCGGATCTGGGTTTTGGGCAGGTCAGCTTATTCGGTTAACCCCACTGTCATCACACCAATCCTTGGTAGACATCGCAATATGATAGCTGGCATTGTTGTCTTTAAAGTAACATAGGTCCAACCCATAAAACTATCACAACGTAAGAAACGCACTGTCATCCAGAATAATACAGTAGGCTTCGTCGTTGAGCTTACCATGAATTTGGATCAAGAATCCCAGTCCATACAACAAAACCCCCCTGCAGACCTCCGAAGAAGAACTTTCCCGTGGGCACAATGCATTCTGGCGATAGAGGGTTAGCATTAATTCATAGCTTCAGAGAACTTATTTCTGCTGATTTACGATCCAATGTCGACGAGCTTTGCACAAACTAATTGAGCAGCGTGTTTGGACTTTGTGCTCAAAGGTTTGTGGGCGGCAGCAGGACCATGAGAAACAAACAGCTGTGCTTTCTTGCTGCTGGTATTCATCAAAACAAAACTCCGAATGCCTATTGGAACTCCTGGATATGCGGGCCATCGGTTGGGTGTAGTTCTTCCAAATTCCTGCGGAAGGCACCTGCCGGTCTCTGTGTATCAGTTTCGAGGGTCTGCAGACTCGGGACACAATCCGACCATCACAGCTCACTTTCAATTTCTGAATGACGTAGGCCACTGTCGGTTTTGGAAAATTCAGCTTGCTAGATATGCCCCTTAAAGATCAGCCATTTCTCGGATACCCGACGATTACACCTTTCTCGAAAACTCTGCACCGTAGCATCTAGCAAGCGACTAAAGCCAATGTTGTTTCCTATACACGATATTTAGTGGTGGGCGGCGTGACGTATACCAGGATCACATATATTGGCATTTTCTTGGGTGTCAAAATACGTATTGGCAGATAGTGTATAAAATTACGATTCAAATGAGATGCAATTCAGCTACCGCCGTATCAACTCCGTCTAGTTGTCGTCCTCCATGATTAGAAACCCAGACAGCTGAAGCTCCGTGCTTCACTGCTAATAAAGCATCTTTACCTGTAATAGAAATACTATCATTAATAAATTAAATTTGTTTGAGAATTACAAATATTTACTAGTACTCTCAAATACTAATTTAGTTACATATTCGGGAAAGACTGAATTTTATCATTTCGTTTTGAAAGAGAGTGATTAGGTTTAAAACTGCGTAAATTAAAAGTCTTAATTAACCAGATTGATATTTTTGGGAAATGTAGCATACAATTTACATGAAATATCAAATTAACGAAGAAAACACTTTCGCTTTGGGCAAGGAAGATTCATAATTAAAGGTTGGTGTAGAACCTTAAAAACATTTTGAAAAAAATCCTGTAATTTTTTTATTTTATTATTTTTGATAAAATTGAAAAAAAAAATGTGTTCTGATTTAATTAGAACGGTAAATAAAATCAATGAGCTTTACGTTTTCATTTGTTTTGTTGAACGCATTTACTCTTAATTAACTGTTGATAACTAAGTACCTCGAATTATATACTACTTGAAACTGCTGATATCTTGTCTTGACTCCTGTTTCATGACAAGAATTTTTATCTTACATGTTACAGAAGTCAATTGCATATTTTCTGAATGATTAAGCATATCAGTATAATTAACAAAAGATTAATTGGCATCAGCATTTTTTACGGATATGAGAGCCATATAGATAAATTTTGGAACGATCGCTACTTTATTACATTTTTGAATAACAATACTCTAATTTTTCAATAAAACGAAATGCAAAAAATCGTGAATTAGTATAATTCAAAATAAAAGCAAATCGGCAGATGCGAAAAACCTGTGCTTTAAATTATATTACGTATCTGCATGGCGCAGCAGCATGGCATGGGTGTCGAGCTGCTAGCAGTTTTGCTGAGGAAATCTTTGAACTATTCTCGCTGAAGCTCCAACAATGCGCAACGATGACTAGGGTTTCCAGTTATAACCAAACGATTAATTTCTCAGGAAGGTGGTTAGTTGGTAACCAGGGATAAATATTCCTTAGTCCTGGGTGGTGACACTCTGTCTTCAAAGAAAAAGAACCTCGCAGCTGAGCGTACTATGAAACTTTAACCGCTTTGTAACGGTGCCGTACAATCATGCAAATCACCTGTTGTTCGAAAAGACAGAAATTTTCATAAGGGTGCCGCGGCATAAGGGATAAGGGTAAGGAACGGGAGACGTAGGCACTATGCCTCTACCATACGGTTAATTATGTAGTATAGCACCATGTCCACCATGATCTAGAGAACCCTTAAGACAACACTAATTCAAATGCGTGAGTACATAATTGAAAATGAATGATTGATTACAAACAATTATAGTACACCTTTGCAGTAAAAATTGCTGCATTTGTGTAAATCACCGGTTGCGATACATTTAACATAATACGATGTAATTAAGAAGTGATATGTGTTATTGCATAAGACTTCTAACAAGTTATATATAATTGTACTTAATATATGATATAGCTCGAGGATAAACTCCTGAAGCCAAGTCAAACATATAATTATAGAAAGATTATAGGATGATAAAAGTACAGTGCAGCATGCAAAAAATACAGTAAAGTATAATAAAAATACAGTATATGATGATAAAAATACAGTACATTACAGTAATGATGGATACATACTTATGGACTAATGTGTTTGCAGTAAATTACATTGAAAATATTATGACAGTTAAAAATAGATGTACATATGACATGATACAGTTTAAACAGTTGTAGTATACCTTGGCAATAAAGATTTGTAGCATTTGTGTAAATAACAGGTTACGATACATTTAACATAATACGATGTAATTAAGAAGTGATATGTTTTATTGCATAAGATTTCCAAGTGATATATAATTATACTTAATACATGATACAGCGCGAGGATAAACTCCTGAAGAGAAGTCAAACATATAATTATAGAGAGATTATAATATGATAAAAATACAGTACATTATGATAAAAATACAGTACATTATGATAAAAATGCAGTATAGGATGACAAAAATACAGTAGTTTACAGCATATTACAGTAATGATAAATACAAAGGTATAAAGGAGCGTGCACAGCCAAGAAGATCAGTTTTTCGCTAGAAGCTGATCGTCGATGCGATTAGGCCAATCCAGCAATTTTCATAAAGGTGCGCGCTTCCCCTGATTTTCGCTTAATTACTAATTGATTAATTAAGCAATGGATGAACTAAATATTCGCCACTTTTATAAAAACGAAGACGTTTCTTTGCGGTACCAGCACTCTTATGCGAAATGCTGAATTGTCATAAAGTTGCCAGCATGTTTTTGAAAAACGCTGTATTGACATTAAAATTCCCGCAACTTCATGAGAAACCCCAACTGGCACAAGATGTCAAAACTTTCGTCTATAAAACTAACTATGCAGGTTGTCATTCTCGGAACAGGATTCCAGTATTTTAGGAAAATAAACGTTATTTTCTCCAAAACGACGAATTACGAGACTCAAGAAATGAAACTAATATATGTAGGTTTTGTTTAACCTAATTTTTCGCTTTTTGGATCTGGAGTAAATAGAGACCGTGAATTTAATAAAAATATCTTATTGTAAGTTTTCAATATTCTATCAAACGTACAATTTTTTAAATGGTAAATGGAAACAATAATGTGTAACTGTGCAAACTGTTTGAAAAAACTTAAATGTTCTGTTAAAAAAAAAAGAGAGAGAGATATATATAACCAAGGAATTCTTTAATTTTTCCGATAGAAATTGCAAAACATCCTTTTAGTGTATAAGCTAATTAAATGTGCCTTTAATATGTATTTTATGTAGAATGATCAAATAGACAAATAAAAAGATATATCGGAAAAGATACTGAAAATTACGATTTGTGTTAATACCAGTGGCATAATATTATCTTTTAAAAATAATAAAATATGTTAAAGCTATATTTGCTTTATTTTCTTTATTATTGCTATTAACCTCCCACCCCCTTTCCATGAAGAAGTATTATGGTTTTTTTTATCTTTGAAAAATTATTTGCTGTGTTTCTTTATAGAAAAAGACAATTCTGCTTTCTAGAAAAGCAGATTACAGAATAGTGGTTCCCAAAACATCAGTTGCGTCGAAATAATTTGCATTGATGAGTGAAAAGATATTTTAACAATTTTGTTTTGTTTTACAGTTATATATACTTATTTAAATTATAAATTATAATTATTGATTGATTTAATGAATGCTGATAGTTATTCATATTTATTTATTATTAATCCCTTATAGCATTATTTTTGTCTGGATATTTTCTTTCTCTTTCATTGAGAGCAACTTTTCTGAAGAATTCTTATAAAGCAAATTTCATTTTCCTAAAGAGCTCGCAGATCGCGATGCGAAAAAATTAGTAAAACACTACAAAAAGAGATATTAAATGGAAGGATTCGAAACATTCCATTACTAACAGTAAGAATTTACCTTCTGGAAACTTATATATGGAGGTAAAAGAGGTCATGTTTTCCATCCAAAAATTTGCTATTATGTATTCAGTGAATAAATACGAATTAGAGAGTCCCCGCAATATATTTTTACTATTTTGACAATGATGTCCGTGTACATTTGTGTAATGAGGTTTTCATCCATAACTTTTGTATCAAACTTCCAAAATTTCCAGTTTTTCGTATTTAAGCTTTCACATTCATATAAAAAGTTGATTAGATTCTGGGTGAACTGTACAACCGGCATTGGTACCTGAAGCCCATAATAGCTTATAATGCTTTGCATAAAACTTTCGCAGTAATCAACGGAACATATTGTTGCATATATATGTAGTCCAATGGCAGATTGTGAACAGTTACAGTGTAACACAGTCCATTAATCTATGCAAGGCCAGATGTGGTGGTTTCTTTATTATGAAGACACCTAATAGGAGGTCCACCATCTCCTCTTATGAAGAGACGGACAATTACAACCATGCCTTCTCCGAGATTCGAACCCAGGCATTTTGGTATTACAATCAGGCTTCCCTAACCACTATACCGTCTGGCCGACCTTGTTGCATATATACCTCATAACATATTGTTGTAGCTGAACAAGTACTGTTTACTGATACCTAAATATCACAAGGATATACATATAGATTTCTTGATTCTATCGAATTAATGCAGAAGAAAATTAAATTATGGTATTCGTTTCAAAATATTTATTTTATATATATATTATAAACAATTCTCTTTAATTAAAAACAATTAAATAACACATTATAAAATTAATTCCTTTAACTTCGGTTAAATTAACTTTCTCTCTACCATTAGTACTAGTAAAAAATAATAATGAAACAATGAGAAACTCTTTGAACGAACGGTTGATCCATATTAAATCAACAATTACATAAATTACAAATTTATTCAACTCATATTCAAACTTAAAGGTTAGAACTTGTACCAATTCATTGCACAAATTGCATGAGGATGTTATCTTTTTGAAAGAATTCTATAAATCACAACGACTAAATACACAATACTTTCTAACATCACAGAGATAGCTACAAATTCAGTGCATTAACACGCAGCCTCCCAAAATAATAGTGCAGAAATATCTGTACTTACTTGATTAATCCAGCTCAAGAAAATAATAATAGTTCAAAAATTCAATTATTTCTCGGCGCTATTTGTTAATAAAAATTTCTCATTAATCATCTACAGAAGGGGTTAGTAGGTTTGCGTTGCGTTTTTTACAAATAAATCAAGAAAGTAGAACTTCATGTTTCGGGAACCATCCGGTCAAATAAACGGAGTGACTAAGGTATTGCCAATAATTATTAACCAAATATCAACATTTCCGGCCGTATATGGCTGAAAATGCCGAGGTATGGTTGAAACAACTCCAAAAGAGTAAGCTACAACGAAACAAACTTAAAACTCTCATAGACTACATGGTAATGAACTGAGAAAATCTAAAACCAATCTAGGAAAAAATAAGGCTCTCAGCACAGATCTAGCGGCTGAGTGGTGGTATAACAAATATAATAATTTCTAGTCCCATCTTCAAATGTTCTGTACCAGTAACCGGTACAAAATGCTTAGCAGATATAAAATGATGTTCTGTGTACAAGTGAACCGCACATGTTTACAATGAACACATATACATTTTCAACTGTACACACTGATTTGTATTTCTCAGCGTCACCTGCAGTTAACAGGCAGACTATATATAAGTGAATTGTAAGCGAATCGTAAATACGTGAATAACACAAGTGACTAATGTGAATGTGACAAGCAAATATTACGCAAGAACTCTGCAAATATATGGACACCACATATGATGTACAATAATATACCCAGTTGATATTGTTCAGTATAATGTATCAGAATAACTTCTTGTATCCAAGTTACAACTGACTTTTAGAGTAAACATTCTCTGTAAACTCAGAATCAAAATGCATAAAATTCTCATTCAGCAAAGTCTTGACAGAGTCTCTTTAATAACCACAATTCACAAACACCCATCTTCCGAAGTAACTTCATAAATTCCGTTACAAATTTTAATGTTCTAGAGTAAACGTTCTTTGTAAACTCAGAATCAAAATGCATAAAACATTGCTAAATTCCTCAAAGTCTTGACAGAGTCTCTTTAAAAACCACAGTTCACAAATACCCATCTTCCGAAGTAACTTCATAAATTCCGCTACCAATTCATTCAATTAATATTCTATAGAGATTTTTGGCTAGGCCTAGCGACAATAGAATAAGTACAAATGCTGATAGTCATATAACTGGCAGTACAGCAACTCAACTGGTGGTAAGTCAGTAAGGTTTTATGGGCGTATATTGTCATGGGTTCAGAGTTGTTGAAGCGAAATATTCTAATGTGTGTGTGTGTGTGTGATTATGGCAAACCTTCGAGGGCTATCTGCCTAAGGGGAGGGATGCCTTCGTGGAGGAAGTTTCAAGGGAACTGGCTCGTATACACGTTACACATGGGGAAAACCACGAAATTGCCCATGCAGCCAGCCCGTTCGCGGTATTCGAACCTCGGACCGAACTACCAGTGTTCAGCAACTTTTACCGCTCGGCCACTGCTCTAATGCTCTAATGAAGATGAATGCTCCCGAATGCTCTAATGAAGATGGGTAGAAATCTACATGACATATGTTAGAGCACAAAATTATCTCCTGCAGCTCGGCATTTCGGTGACTACCATGGTCTTTCGATTACATACCAACGATGTCTGGCTATGAACGTACGATACTTGAAATACGAAGTTACCGTGAGTAATTCAAGAAGTTCGTTTGACTTGAAAGTACTTAACGTTCTGAAACAGCTTGTGTAATTTTACACTCGCCAACTATGTTTATTACCTCCCACATGGAATACATCATCACATGAAAATGGCCAAATATGGCGTTTACAATCCAGGCAAATGTTTTCTTTATTTAATCTTTCTCCCCTAGTTTATTATTTCAGCGTTTCTTTTTACTAGGACTCTCGCTCCGCTGTTTTTTGAGAGGCAGATGACATAAGGTGAGAACTTCTATGCGCATATCATATAACTTTTATATCTCAAGTTTCATTTCGATTATCTAAACTGTGCAATTGCTCCAATATAGTTATTTTATGTCCATTCCTATTGATGCACTGCTTAGTTTAAAATGAGTCATCAATTCAAAATTTGACGTCCCTTAGTAAACCTATCATAAAAGATAATATGAACATGTTTATCAATGACCTATTAAATAAGACGCAATGAATCTGCAGAACTGCTACACACACACACATGAAGCTTTAAACCATTTTACTTTAGAAAAGTCATCAGCGGATGTTTGCTAAAATTACCAAGTACTGTGCTATGGTACCATACATTTATCATCTTTCCGAACTATGGGAACGTTTCCATACGTTTAACTTCGCGCGTCCTCAAAAATAATATTGCTATTTGATTAACTGAACGATATTTAATTTATGTTGCAAATTCAAGCCATGTATAAATTTTTTATAAAAATGAGGTATTTAAAAATCAATGACTGAATTGTTTGATAATTTAAACCTTTAATTAATTTTTGCAATGATATACCTAACTGATGTAGTTTAAAATACATTTAATTTAAACATATTAAACTGATATTTTTATGAATATTTGCTTCTATCGCCATATATTAAGTACCTAGGTACAAAACCTTTTGATTTACAGCTACAGACAGTTTTTAATAACAGTCTAGAGCAGCGGTTCTCAACCTTTTGATTAACGCATACCCCATAAGCAAAAACTGAGAATCCTTAAGTACCACCACTACACTTTACAATGATTATTTTTCAGTTTCTGAATAGAAATATTAAGAAATATTTTGCCATTTGCACAACCTTTTGGCTATTTTTATTTTAAATATGCACACAAAAAATATTAGATTAAAAATTGGTTGCCATTTTAATTAGCAAAATTTAAGTTATAATACTTTAATTCTATAATTTGCTGTGAAATCTGGGCCTGTTTAAGAGAATTAATTTGATTATGGCTGGTCTTATTTCAATTAGTTTTAACCATAAATTAGGAACCACTTATAATTTTATTCTGCCTTTATATTTCAGATACAACACGGAAGAAAATCTTTGTTCACACAAATAGGTTGTACAAAATGGCAATAAAAATTTAATAGCTTTATTTGAAATGCTTTTAAACTATTTTCTCGGTTCAGCCCAAAGTCACCAAAAATCTTCAGTTAGAGTTCGATGAAAGGAAATTTCTATCAATTGTTCTTTTTCTTCACAAGGTTTTTGAAATTAAGAGTTAAAAATACTTTGCTTCTTTGCGTACCACCTATTTTGCTTTTTCATACCACCAATGGTACGCGTACCACCGGTTGAGAATCGCTGGTCTAGAGAGTTGAAATGGTAAATATGTTTACCCAGACAACTTGTCATGTTTACTACGGAGCTTTCAATACTCTTTCGAGCCGCTTCAATTCACTTTGATGAATTGTATAGTTTTTCACTAGCCTAAATTGCGTTAAGTGATACTGCGATATTCGATTTTCTTCTGAAGTAATTTAATTTTGTCGATGTTTACTTTCACTAATACAGCTTTTTACTTTTAGTGAATGCGTTTGGGACATATGTTTTGAGAAATATTCTGTTCCGGTGCTGAAACAGGAAATATTTAGAAGTAGTGTTTAATTTAAAGCGAATTTAAAGCATTTAATTTATGTATAAAGCATTTAATTTATGTATACTTTTGCATACGTTTAGATATTTATATGCTAGTGAAAAGAATATTAATTTTCTAAAGGATACTAATTTTGTTCTCCTTAATGATTAACCCAAAAAATATCGAATTTAAGTTTTAATTTTCATAAAATACAATAAATAATCATATCCCACATTTTAAGATTATTTTTTCGAACTTATGGTTTCGGGTATTTTACAGTTATAAGCTTCAGTATTAAATTAAATTTATGATATCGATAATAAGTAACATTACCATTATTTCTTATCAATGATGCTAAAATAAATTTCATTAGCTCAATTTACGTAGTTTTAAAACAAGAAAGAATCAAGATCGCTATAAACAAGAATTTTACCTGTTAAAATGCCTTTCAGAACTAGAGGTAAAGAGGAAATGCTCTTGATCCAAGACAGGTCTTCCCATGTCAAAGTTTCGGTGAAAAGGCGTACGTTTTGTATGTGATTGGAAGATTTAGCGTTATCATTTGTTTTCGGAATTGCCTCAGCTATATTCGGAATACTGGAAGAAAAAGTTTTGCAGACTGAGTTTTAACACAAAATACTCAGGTAATGATGAATAATATATATCATGTAAAAAATGAACAGCAAATAATTGAAAAAAAATTTTTTTTGGTTGCAGAAATTTAGCGACATATTTTGTGTTTAAGGCATTTGCGGAAAATTACGTTACACACATATAAATTGAGTTAGTTGAATTGGGCCGTGAAAGGGCTTTAACAAGGAACAGGGAAAAGCCCACCAGTTGGGTACCAGTAGGTCATCAGGTGAACCCTAACATACTAAATATTTAGAGCCAACACCATCCACTGGTTTCCGATAGTCCTATGAGCTGCAACAATATGTACAACAATTGGCCCGAACCACAACACAAGCGCTGCCGCCTAAGATGACGTACCAAAAGTCTGCTCTAACACCGAGTTCCATTTTTACTGACAAATCTTGATACATAAATTTACATATATAAGATTGCATTCTATGGTATGGCAATACATACCTTAAAAGCACATAAATATATATTAGTACATATTAATACATTTCAAACATTAACTTTGGTATAATTATTTTAATAATATTGTTACTAAATGCCCAGCTACGGTAAAATAGCTTCCCCGCAAAGCGGGCTTAGGTTTTCCAGAAAATGGCAAAGAAAGACAGTGTTGCCGTATTTGGCGCGAAATCGCCCATCTGGCGACATTTGGTGACAAACTGGAGATATGCCATAGACAGAGCGAGAACATTCTAGAATGAATTCTTAGCGGTTTGCCCTAAAATGTTCTCGAAGGCAAGTGAAAAGTTAGTTAAACCCTACGTGTACGCAGAGTACCTGTGTACCGCGAGTTAGTGCATCGCGAGAAGGCATTGTCAGTGTATCGAGTTATGAGTGTATTAAGTACCGAGAGTGTACCGAGAGGGATCGATCGAGTAGGGAGCTTTACTTTAGTGTTTTGCTGTGAAGCTGTCTTCACAGTTCTAGCCTGATAGCTTGAAGGCTGTGTCGGTGTTTGTTCCAGCGTGTTTGCCGTAATTTTTCGACGATTGCAAACGTAATTTTGGAACTGTCCTGAGTAATACTTGGCTAAATAAATTGTGTTTTAGTTCTTCATCAAGTGTTGTCATCAATCACTCCAAATCCACGAACCCGTAAAACGCAGCAACTACTATTAAATAAGAAGGTTTTATGCATTAAACATTCAAGTAATGATATTTTTGTAAACAGTATCTTATAATAAAATATTATGTACTTAACAGGAAATTCTAAATACAGTTTTAAGTAATAAGTAATTACCATACTTCAAATGCATTAGATTAAAATTAAATTTTTATATATCATACATAAAGATGGCATTTTACATATAATTTCCTTAGAATGAAATTTAATGTAAATAATCTTAATGCAAAATTAAATTTTCCTTTGCATAAATGATCAATTTTATATTACAGATAAAATTAAGTTTTAAATTACACAAATTTTAAATTACAAATTTTACATTAAGTATAATTAATAAAAGTTTGCTTATAAAATCCTAATATGAAGAGTTTTGTTTTACTTTTACGTTTTACTTTAAAGAATGTGACTTTACTGCATATTTTCTTGCGAAGTTACATCGCTTGGGACAACTATCTCATGTGGTAGTGCAAACCAAGTTAATAGCATTTTTAGACTATTCGAGTACGATATCAAATTTTAAGCAAATGACGCTTAAGCAGAGAAGCTTAGATTATAGCCTATGATCTGGTAACAAATCTCAGTCATCAGAATAGCATATAACGCTTCTGAGGCTAGAAATGAGTATAGATCAGCAAATATAAAATCAGAACTGTATTGCTTGTTTTCTTCCTGGTAACTTGAGTATCGTTCATCTTGAATTTTCGCGTATAGGGTCCACTAACAAGCGCTACGTACTACTTGCAAATGCTTTTGCGTTTAGAGGACAAAGAAAAAGAACAACCAGATAGCGGTGAACCTGATGGATTCTGCGTAATGACAAGGATCCCAATTTCATGGTTTTATTAGTTAAGGAATTCTTTCCCCAGAAATACACTTCTGATATATCATAATCACCTTATTTGCCAGATTCTTTACCATTGTCCATTGACTATTCGCTTTCTTCGAGCTGGTTCTATACGGTCAACAATTTCCGATAATTCAAGCTGTTCGCAAAAGTAACAACAAGTCTACTACAGACATCAAGAACATTATAGCTCTTTAGATGGTTTTAAAGGCAAATTTTAACGTCAAGATATTTGCAATGACGATTCTCTTTAGTAACATTATACCTCTTTAGATGGTTTTAAAGGCAAATTTTAACGTCAAGATATTTGCAATGACGATTCTCTTTAGTAATTATTTCGCACAGCTTACACAATATTTTGCCATTTATTTTTATGACAAAATTATTCACACTCCATTCTTCTACAAAAGCATGGCATTTGAAATTCACTTTTCTTTTTCTAATAAATAAAAGCGGATTAACAAAATAGACTATTACAGAGTGCTGCGATAGAAAGTACCGCTAACATCGAGAACTGGAAACGAAAAGAACTGATAACACTTATTCTACCGTAACAGCAGACAACAGGAAGCAAATATGCGGCACAGTAGCGCTGCATGTAGTCATTTTTCCCATCTTGTCAACTCGGCTATTGATCGTTGGGATGAAGAGCGTAATTTGATTATTTTTTTTTTTTTTTTTTTTTCATTAAAAACAATATTAACCGATGGAGGTTACTAAAGACAGTTTGCCTACTCACGATTTAGTACATTTTCAGCGATCTGAAAGTTCATTGCCATTACACAATACCGCTAACTCAGCATTGCATTAATTAATGCATTATTTAAATATTGTATATTATGTAAACTTTAAAAGTAACACTGTAGCATAGTATTTTATATTACATATTTCCTTATATCAGCTTATGCTAATTTGAATATTTGTTAAAATTTTGCATGCCGTATTACTTACAATTAACTGTGCATTTATCATCAGCATTTCATAGTGCCTGATTTCTGTACAATTATAATATGCATTTTTTATAAATTCGAAACTCGATGGACATACAATGTGTATTCATGCTCAATGAACAGCAAATGAGTCTTAATACAAAGATCTAAATAATTAATAATCTCGAACTCAACGGGTTATGTGGCTGACATGCTTTATGTCTGACTGGAGCGGCTAACCCATAGACGATGGAAAGAAAAAAAAAACTGATGCACGTCACCTTATTTAGAAATAATCAAACACAAATTTTGTTTCAAAACATCTCATTCTAAAAAGATAAATCTGTAATGAAGTACCTTTTAACACTTTGCCATATTTAATATACCCAATAATTAATAATAAATTAATAATTAATTAATAATACCCAATAATTAATATGTCCACTTTCCGCTCATTTAATTAAAGTTACAATGTAATTCGGATTATACTGCCTTCAAGATATCCAAATTCGAACTATCCGCTGTCTCGTTGTTCTTCCTATGTCAAATAAATTCACGTTTCTTGCTGATATATATATATATATATATATATGAGGTTTTCATTTTCTTATTGATTGGATTTGTGCAAAGACAGGGCGCAACAGCAATCTAAAGTAAAGCCGCTCAACAGTGGTAGTTTGATCTAGATTCTTGGCAAACGAACTGGCAGTTTCGTGATTTCCCTATGTGTAACACTGATATGAGCCAGTTTCCTTTGTAAAATGCTCAACAAAGCTATTCCTTCCCCAAACCAGATAGCCTTCGGCTTGCTTTTCTGATTTGATTAACCTAACATAGTGTAAGAAATGAGTAAAAGGGCCAGTAGATAAAGTTTATAAACTGTTACATCCGTCTAAATGAATTTGGGCATGTAAGATGAGCTTAAGATGTTTGCCAAATATATAGTCTATAAAGACTGCTGGCAAAGAATTTATGGACTGTTTGTATTATGAATGTTTTAGTTTAATTTCAGTTAGAAATGTTTTTACGTATTTAATTTTATATAAATGAAATATAATTTCTATACTTTTTAACTGCATCATCTCTGTTGAAATAAAAATATGTAAGGAGAGTATTAACGGTACGTTATTAATGTGATCGAGTCTAATTTATATCAGGGATTAAAGTAAAGAGAATGTGTAAAATATTTACTTCGATCTAACATTAACTTCAAGATACGTCGAGACGAACATTTCCATAAAGCCCAAAGACTGTTGTATTGCTATTAACATAACAGTGTGTGTATTACGTTATATTTGATCTGACAAGACGCATTTTCTATCATTTAAATGAAAATTTTGAATTCTTAGAGCTTTTTTTAGTTAGATTTTCTTAGAGCTAAATTTTTGTAGTACGATTAAATAAAATACTTTTTGAGCATAAGTACTTCATAGCAGCCTCTGCGGCAGCTTCAAGCTAGAGTACAGTTTGGGAAACGTTAACCGAAAAACTTAGTTCGATAAACTGCCCGAAAAATTAATTTTAAAATTTCAACAATATTCTAGTTATAGTTCCCACTGGATGAGTTAGGGAAATTTTCTAACGTTACTACATATAAATTCGGAAAGAACATCAGTATACGTCACACCAATCATGTTTTGCTTTTAATCATTGACACTGTTGACCACCGTAAACTCAACACCCTGAAGGAAGCATGCAAAAAACATGAAATATACAACACGCACTAACGGAGGTAAGATATGCAAATGATTAGAATTTCAGTGCAGACGCACATCACATAGGATAAAGGCCTACCGAGAGTGGGTAGTATCTTTCAAGGAAATCGGTAGTCGTGTTGGACGAAACCAAACAACTGTAATGCGGATATGTGACCCTTGGATGCAAGAGGGTACGACGGACCAACGTGTTCGATCGCATCTACCTCAGTGCACCACTTCACGTGAAGACAGGAATATTGTGCGCATGGCAGTGACGAATCGCTCAGTCATATCACGAACCACAGCACAGCACATTCAGTCTGTAACGCATCATCCAGTGTCTGCGCGTACCATTCGACTTCGTTTAAAGCAGAGTGGTCTGTCCGCAAGACGTCCATTGCTTCGTCTACCCTTGACGCAGAAACACAGACGTCTCCACCAATGGTACGATGAAAGAAGGATGTGGACTGCAGAATGGAATGAAATTGTCTTTACTGACGAGTCACGCTTCTGTCTGCGACACCACGATGGTCGGATTCGATTCTGGAGACACCGTGGAGAGAGCATACTGAACAGCTGCGTTATGCACCGTCACACTGGTCTTGCACTGGGTATTATGATATGGGGCGGTATTGGATATAACTCTCGCACTCCTCTAATACGCATTGCAGGTACTTTAAACAGCCAGCGCTACATCTCAGAGGTGTTGGAGCCAGTTGTCCATCCTTACCTTCAGGGCTTGCCCACAGCCATATTTCAACAAGATAATGCGCGACCACACGTTCCATGCATTGTCCAAGGGTTCTTCGTCAATCGCCAGATTGAATTGCTTCTCTGGCCGGCTCGCTCTCCAGATCTTTTGCCGATATCGAAAACACGTGGTCCATGGTTGCTAAACGATTGACCCAGATTACATCTCAAGCTGCCACACCAGATCAATTTTGGCAACGTGTGGAAGCTGCTTAGTCTGCTGTACCCCAAGAACACAACCAAAGTCTTTTTGAATCAATGCCGAGGCGTGTGGCAGTGGTGATCTCCAACAATAGCGGCTACTCTGGCTATGAATTCTGGAAGGAACCACGCTTCACTGAAGTCTATAAATTTAATCATTTGATATATGGTCAGCATGTTATCTACTAAATAAATTTTGTTGTGATATCTTTTGTCTTTCTTAGTGTTGCAATTTGGGTAGCCAGCAGTGTATATCTTAGAACGTATTTTTGAAAAATAAAATCAATAAAATTATGCTTATTAATGAAGTGCTGAGCTAGTGAAATAATTTTAGGACTTTAGCCTAGCATATGAAATGTTTTTAGATAGGACTGACTTCCTGCAATTAATGGATATCTGTAGATGTGTGTAATGGTAATGCATGTACATGTGTAGTTTCTAATCTACATCTCAGGAAGAACCGTTTAGAACGTCGCACCATTTACATGGAATTTTCTGGTAATAAACATGGAAAAGACGAATTTTCTCAAATTTTGAAATATGAGTTACACTACTTAGTGCTCAAGCAGCTCATTAGGGTTTCTAGAAGCTATTAAACACTTTTGGAAAGTTATGCAAAATTTTAAAAGATTTAATAAGCGAAAGAATTTAAAAAGATGGAACTTTTAAAAATACAAATAGTTTTCTAACTAGTGGATAGAATATCTATTAGATATTCTATCCACTAGTTATCATTAGAGCAGCCGTGTTAATATCTATTAGATATAAATTCAACGTTATTTCTAACACATAAGATATCTGTAAGCTAGAATAGGTATCTCCTAACTAATAAATAGATAAAAATACAGTGAATTTCTTGCGACGTAAAGTTGTAAACTAATAAATTCCAGCAAGAGTAGTTTTTATTGCTCTTACTAAATATAAGAAATACTCAATTTATTTCAAGTTAGGTGTAATATAAATACATTTATTTTTCAGAGAAAATTACATTTAATTTGGATTAGTTTCGAACCAATAGATAGTTGAAAATCGTTTGGAGCATAGCTTCGTGAATATTAAGTATAACTAATACTACTGATTTAGGTGTTAGCAAAGGGAGTTTAATAGTCTTATATAGCATAGTTCCTAAAGAAATGTGGTTAGTATAGATTAAAATCTATGAAAAGTTAAATTTACAGCAATTCACTTACAACCAGTCAAATGCATTCAACTATTTGCAGAAATTTACACAAAAATTTGCTGTACATTTCTGCAAATATTTGAATGTATTAATTAGACTGCAATGTTATTGTTATAATCATTCGTATTGATTTGTTTAAGTGTTACATTTTGTGTAATATTTTTAAGGTGTGCTTTTGTACAATTGAATTTGTTATCGCACATCGGCACATTTATTATTGCATGCAATTCAACAACATTTAAATTGTGGTGAAAATATCTCGATTAGAATGTAAGGTATAGGCATAAACTTTCCTGTACAGTTTTGGAAATAATTTTGTCATTTGGCGACATTTAAATCTCTCACTAAATTAGCGATTTTTCAGAGATTTTGGGAAAACATACTTTTTGAGCTTTGATAGCGTTTTTCTTACCAAAGCTTCCAGAAGACCGAGCAGCCGTGTTTTGAGACGCAAGATCAGTTTTGGGTTGCTTAAGAACTATATTAATACAATTAGCTGAATAACATTTTAGAATTTACTCTGTGAGTGATATAGGGAATCTGTAACATATCTCGTGTGTTAGGAAGAAGTTGTCTTATCTGCGTTCTCCAGATATTTTCTCAGGATTTTGTTTCGTTGCATGCTGTCTTTTTGCCATACATTGGCATTTTCTCCTTGCTCACTTTTAGTAATTGTTTGAAGAGACCCCTCCCGAATGCATAGCACATAAGTTCTCTGATTAGAGAAATGCTTAATGATATTATGATGTTTAATTTATAAATGATAATTTACCTTAAATGTGGCGGGATCGTCAGACCTTTCCTCCATAATCTGAGTTGCAATCCTGTAACAGGTGTATCGACTGTCAAAACTAGTGCTTTGAATCCATGTGCTTCAGCTTTCTTAATCATCTTCTCAGTAACACTTCGGTATTTGAGTATATAAATTTGCATCCACAGAGGAGACATATACTGCCGATTTTTGGACAAATCCTCTATAGATGTAGTTGATACAGTACTGAGGGTATATATTGTATTCATTTCTCCTGCAGCTATAGAAAAAATAATGTGATCTAAGTCTAAGGGTAATAGAAAAGCTAATTAATATTCATTACTGATCTATGTAATCAAAATAATATAAAAACATGCTTTTAATTTATAACAAGAATACAACTGATACAAGAAAATTAATTAATATCAATTTTTCAGCTACAACTTTCTGTATTTGTAAAATACCATAACATTTATCGTATTTTGTTGGATGATTATGTAGATAAACAGAATAAAAGTGAAGTACTCCCAAGCAAATATGTTCCATGTGAGCGTAAGCTTACTATTTCAAAACAAACAAAGAAAAAAACAAAGCGAGGGGAAAAAGGGAATGATGAGCACAGCAAAAAGGCATGATTGTCTCTCATGTATAAACCTGCGTAGTAGGAATATTTGAGCGTCTCAATTACTCTGCCACCTAGATGACTGCAATATACGTATCCGATATACAAGCTATAATCCTCTTTTTGCATTAAAATCGGCAATATACAAGCTATAATCCTCCTCTTGCATTAAAATCGGCAGTTGTCTATATAGACAGTTCCACAGTTCCACTTCAATACCGGCCTTCCCTGATGCACAATGAATAATGACTTTGTAAACAATTACTGAAATAAGAAGCTTCATTCCAAACTTTCACTGTTCCAGGCGGTACATTCATCCCTAAAAGTGGCGCCAGATTTTAATATAAGCAATGGAAGGCATTAAACAGTGCATAGAGATTCAATGTTAAACTTACAGACCATCTATGGTGATTTCGGCCGACACAGCATTGTCAAGGTAATACAAAAACCATAAATTTGTATTCTTGCAAGTTTGATACCAAAGCTTCAATGGAACTAGACAGTACTAGGATTACAAGGAAAACAGTAGTAGACGTTATAACACTTGGTGTGGGTACTCGCAACTTAGGTAGCTCAATTCCAATATCGATAAGGTTTTTACATAAATTCCCAAGTGAATTTTCACTACAAAGCCACGAAAAGCTCAATGCTTTACTTGATCAGACAGCATCATTTCATCATTCTTACTCATATCTATGAACAAACTACTGAAATTAGCTAGCCCGAGAACGCACTTATTACATTACACATGCTGATATGCAAGCATAAATATTCTGAGAACAATAGATATGCTAAAAAGCAAGTGAATCAGCCAAAAAATTTAGTTCTATCATTAGCTTTAATTTAGAACTTAAGCATGAATATTATTCAGATATAAAGTTTGATCAGAAAACATTTAATAAGAGTTAAAAAATCTTACATTAAAATTTAATTTGTTGGATTCTCCTGTTCAGATTCAGCTAGAATTAACTGATTTGCAGTCGAATCATTCGTTAAAGGAAAAGTTTCATTCAAGGAAATTTAAGTTTTCTTTTGTACCCTGAATGAAGATAATTTCAAGCATTTTGAGAATTAGGTCAAAAAATTTTAAGCTTCATTTAGATTGTGATATTTATGTGGAAAAACGTATTCGTTAATGAAGTACACGAAACAAAATTTACATTCGGTATTAAGAATCGATACAAGGGTGTTGGAACCTAATTTGGATGAATAATCACAAACGAATAATCGAGATTTCATTTTTCACGTCACATGTATATATTATTGTTACGTGAGTACGGATACATAGTGGATTGAATGCATACATAACAGATTAAAGCTTAACGAAATTTATTTTCCAAATACACTTCACAATTCGGACAATTCAATCACAAAAGTACTTGTACAAATCTTCTCAGAATGGCAAAGCACAATCAATAGTTACCACTTCAAATTACACTGGCCATTAAAATTGCAACACCATGAAGGAAAGCAAACATAAAAATGATTTTTATTATACGTAAACACTATGGCATGAAGACAAAACTATTAAATTTGTGAGCAGTTTAGGGGTTTACAGGGATGCGATATTAGTAGAAACAGCTGATACCCCTTGACAGCTAAAACGCCCTTACCCGGTTAGGCATGGAGGTAGAAAGGGGCTTGGATGACAGAAAGGGGCCTTTCATTCCCTGCTGCTTCAAATCTATGCCACACTTCATCAACCGCATTAGCTTCAGAGGGCTGGTGGGCCAGTCTCTCAGAAACCCATGACCAGATGGTTTCAGTGGGACACAGACCTGGAGACCGTGCAGCAGTCGAATACCCTGTGTATCGAGGAAGATCAGAATACAACGTGCAACATGTGAGCTTGCAAAATCTTGTTGGAAGATGGCGTTTGGCAGGTCTCGAAGATAGGGCAAAAACCCACTGGACGTAAAGTGTCAGAAATGTACCGATCTGTGTTCAAATTACCGTCAATCCAAAATGTGTGTGTCGTGTACCCAATGGCTGTCCAATCCGTCACAGCAGGTGCAAGGACCCTATGCCGATATCGAATGCAAGCAGGTGACGTGCCTTCTCGTCGGAGCATCTAGGCACGCATACGGCCATCAGAATATTGCACGTAGAACCGGGATTCCTCTGAAGAGACGACATTGTGCTACTCTTGTGCCCAGTTTTGTCGTTCGGAGCTTCTCTCTATATTGCATTGTAAAGGGAAGCCGAAGTAATGGTCGCCGTGCTAATAGTTCACGCTGATGTGAACGTCGACTCACTGTACGAGCGGATATTAGACTAGTTGCAAACATGCCCATTTCCTGACGAATGGCTCGTTGTTTGATTGTACGGTTTTGGAGGGCTGACTTCACAATATGTCTGTCCTCTCGGGCGTTAGTAATAGGAGGGCGTTAGGATTCTGCATGCCGTTCATTATGATCCTCAGCAACCCATTGATCCCATATTCGTATGACAGTGGTTGGATGTCGACCAGTGCCACGGGCGATATCACGGAACGATAATCCACACTCTGTATTGAAACACTTAATGTTTCATTACACAAGAGATGCGGCAAATTTACTTATAATTTCGCTAAAATTATTTTCATGCATATAAAATTCGTAACAGTATTGATTGTTTACGACGTTTTTTTTATTTATAATATGTAACAGTTTCCAGGCTTAAAAATTTTCTCGCATTCACATTTCTGTCTCTGTCTTTGTTCATAAATAAAATCATGATGCTTCAAAAAACGGACATGACTGATTTTCGAACTTACTGATTAAAGTTTTTCCCACTGTATCCTCAGTTAAAGTGGGGTTATTATGTTAGGAACTTTGTTATTGCATATTATTGTAATTTGTGGTAATAGCCGAACCTATTTAAAATTTAAGAGATATATATATGTCTCATATTTTATTACTATGATTTAAAGAATGTGTTTTTGAATCATTTGACTTGACTCTTCTTTTGAAATTTTCATGTACAAATCAAGTTTACAGCAATTTAGACCTGTGAAGATTTTATTAAAAATAAACATACCTCTAGAGGAGGCCATTTCTCCCTCTGGATGTGCCAATTTTTGATATGCCGTAGGAGCTATGCCAACAGGTATAGAAATTCTTTCTCCAAGGACAGTTACAGACAAATCTCTATTATTCGTATTGCGCAGCATTCTGGGTATTATCGTATACCTACGCGCAAAATTAGTAAAATTACTTCTCCTGGCCAGTGAATTTGGGCTTAAAATGATAACAATAGGCTAGAATTAATGTTGCAAAATAATAACAATACAACAGTATTAACCAAATATTCAGATTTAGTATTAGCTTGAGAGCGGACCTAACGTCTAGCTATGTAAATATTAAATAAACAGGAATTGAATAACAAAAGAAATTTTACAGTACATATAAAACATACTTTATTCTCCCAATTTAGTGAAAATACCTCAGAGAATTGAATTTTAAAGCGATGATTTTGCTTGTTAGCAGGCAAAAATATTCATTGTGGATTAAAGCAGAATATAAATTTTAACGTGCAACTTTTGCGGCGTTTGCAAATACGCTATCTTGGACGTATACTGTATTCTTCTCAGGGTTGTTTATTAGGTAAAAAATTTAATTTGTTTCCGTAAAATAAAGGAATTCTGTTAATTTTATTTTTGAAAAAATATCATCTGCCCTAAGTAGTATTAAAGATCACACGATAATTCTCATCTGAATGTTTGAATTTTACAGTGTTAGATAATAATTGTTCATTAATATATGGAAATGATTTATTTAAAATTCACAAATGCAGTGGCATAAGACGAAGTTTAATTCCTAATTTGCTCAGCTGCATTAAACTTAAGAAATGCTTTCGAAGTAAGAGAGTTCCCACTGGAAAAATATATTCAACTTTAATTCTTTGTATTTCTTGCTGAAGACTGGTTTTTGATTTCATTCACGTATTAAGACCCACATGTCTAAAGATCAGGTGGGATAAAACTATATCAGGTATCATCATGTCAATCAAGTGGGATATAACTATACAATTTTATCACGTTTTATTGCAGAAAGATATTTTTAAATTAATAAATTTTCGACTTATGTCGAGAGAATGAAACAAGAATAAGACAATTCCTGACGTTATATTTCGTTTTTAATTTTTTCCTTTCAGTTTAAGCAAAGAGAAAAATATTTTAATAATTTTGCTTAAAATCAAGAAATCCTAAAGTTATGCTTTGTAGAAATTTCAGAGATTGGTACATATCAGATTTGGCAGAAAAATATCCTTGAATTAAAACATAAAAGAAAATGGTGACATAAATCCTCTTTCTCAAATTTTATTTCATCATCACCCAGAACATTGCCATCAATTTGTCATCACATTATTTTGAGGATAATATTGTCCAAATACTTGCTTTTGCAAAATATCTCTTCTGAAGCTTCTCTGTGAGGTTTAGTCAGTGGCCCACAAATGTCTCTATTTCAGTGCAATGGTATTTTACATTTCCTCGGCTCTTTGCTGCCTGTGTTTAAAAACACAGATTTTAGAAGAAATAACCACAGATGGACAGATCTCCTGAAAGCGGTGGCCATGCAATGTTACCAAGTATTCAAGTGTGCCTCTGACAAGATAACAGAGTGATACCAGTTAATACACGGAAATCTTTTTTCAAATCCTGTATTACGTAACTGCAGTTAAATTATATTTGAGAAAACAAATATGAGTATTAGAAACTTCTTTCTTCCATAATTTAATTCACGTATAAAGTATTTAAAACTATAACGTGAAGTAATTATTGCTTATAAAGAATGCATTACATTTGTAAAAGACATGCAAAAGTAAAAATTTAGCAAAAACCTGAAATAACACTGAAGATTTTCTCTTAATGTTCTCTCTCTTTCTGCGCCTTGACTGTAAAACGCCCATGTTTTGCTATCTACGTGCTTCTTTGCGTATTCTTCGTAGTCTTTCAAACAAAGCATGGCTTTAAAACGTGGAAGATATATTGACTTCCTAAAATAAAATCTGTAACATTAATATAAATTACAAAATGTAGAGTTTACATTTAACATAATTTTCACGTTTATTGTGCACAGATGTTATGTCTGGATATTAAAACAAAAATTAATACAATTGGATAAATTTATATTTGGTATATTATCACTAAATATTTATAATGACACTAAATATCAAATAATAGAAATTTATTAGGAAGAAAAAACGAGGCACATAGGCGTTGAAAGCAATTAATTTTAAGAAAAGCGTTGCCCCAAATGGGGCAGGGATTTACTTGAAAGTATTTGTTCTTAACGCATGTGTGCTTCGTCCTTTAATTAACTAGTCTATAATTCCTGAGCAACGATTTCGCAAAAAATATAGTTATTGCAAATGCGTTTAATGAGTGGCAATGATAATGTCAGATGAAATAACAAAATATCACCTTCGGAAAAAAAGGAAAGTGCGATTTGTTTTTAATACAGAGATTTGTTTAAGAGCATATATGCCTTTCGATTTTGCTGTCGAAATTACGTTTGATGGTCTTTTTCTTGCCTGAGATTATCTGGGTCTTATATCACGAAGAAGATGCAAAATTTTGCGCGGCAATTATTTTAAATTATAAAAATAAATTTTTCTGCTAGTCTGAGTAATTGTATATGCTAAATTGGACCTAATAGAAGTTGGAATACTGATAAATGACTCTCAGATGACAAAAGAGTGTTCCATTTAGCATTGACGAGCTTTCGATGAAGCACAAATACCGATAATTTATTTATCCAATTTAGGGAATTGCTGTTAGTTGAAAACCATATATATTTAGCACAATATCAATAAACAACAAAAAGAATAACATGTACTAAACATCTAACAAAGGCATGAAAACACTGCAGACGAAAAATATTTTATAAGTATTTTAATTTGGCCAATAATGGAAAGTATAATTTCCTTAAACATTGAATTCCTTTCATAGTTCACAGTTAGACATTTGTAGACGTCAAGCAGAAACAGAAAGAACTTCTAGAAATATGTTCTTACCAGTGGATAAAGTAATTGTCTGCCAGTGATAAAAGAACATTATATTCTAGGCACTATATAAGTTATAAAAATTGTAAAAATTATTAAAAAAATAGTAGAAATGTTTTACACATTTTGATTCACTGACAGTTAATTCCAGTTATGTAATATCGAAAACGAAAATAAACAGATTGAAGCATTAGAATCCCCAGAAATTTGTAATGCTTTAATAGAAATTCCTAGCCAAGAACTGTATGACCAGATCCAATCTTTAAATATTAAATTATCTGATTATGAAGATGGTGAAAGTAATCATCATAAAATTGACATTCTAATTGGATCAGACTAATTTTGAGAAATAGTTTCTGGTAAAACAAAACGTTTAATTTCATCGGTGATGTTAATAGATACACTGATGGGATGGATCAATTCAAGGTCCAGTTACACATTCCTCTTTAAACATAAAACCATCATCCGTTGGAGTTTTAAACGCAGTTCTTATGAAGGATTTGGATGAGGATGAGTTAACGTCGTCTAAGTTAAAAGCGTTTTGGGAATTAGAATCCCTAGGTATCCATAATGACTGTCTAATTCGGGTAAAGAATCTCTTCGAAGTTTCGAATCAAGTTTGACTTTTAAAGAAGGCCGTTATGAAGTACAACTTCCTTGAAACATAACTGTGATAATTTGGAAAATATTTACGATAATGCTAAGAAAAGACTTATTTCTTTGGTTCGAAGATTTTATAAGGATCCATTCTTGTATGCTGACTATAAATCTGTGATAGAAGAATACTGTAAGTTGGGAATCGTAGAATCAGTAACTGAACAAAATGATACAGGCCAGAATCCGATATATTATTTACCACGTCACCCTGTAATTCGAAAGGATAAGAATACAACGAAATTGAAGATTCTTTTTGATGCTTCATCGCATCCTTCTCATGCTCCTTTGCTAAACGAATTGTTACATCCTGGTCCAAACTTAAACCCAGATCTCTTAAAACTTATACTTAAATTTCGAATTAACCGAATCGCATTTATTGCTGCTATTGAGAAGGCATTTCTGCAAATTAGTTTAGTAGAGACTAATCGTGATGTTGTACGATTTCTGTGGATAGATGATTTTCAAGATAATGTATCTGATATTGAACCAAAAATTCTACGAATGACTAGAGTCCTGTTTGGTATTACTTCCAGTCCATTTCTTTTAGCTGCTGTAATTAAATTCCACTTGAAGCAGTATTCCACTATGTATCCAGATACTTGTTTGATGTTAAATGAATCGATGTACGTCGACGATTTGTTATCAGGAGCTCCGAATGAAGAAGAAACTTTCAGAAGAACTAAAGAAGCAGACTACATAATCAAAGAAGCAGGAATGAAACTTTGGAAATGGAAAAGTAATTCTGTAGAGCTTGAAAACCTGTGGTCTGATTATGGATTTGAAACTAGTACATGAGACGATACAGATATTTCATCAAAGGTATTGGGAATGTTATGGGATACTCAAAAGGACGTTTTTAAATTTGACGTCAAAAACCTATTAAATTTTGTTTTGAATTCTGATGATACTAAACGTAAAATAATAAGAAATGCGGGAAGAATATTTGACCCAGTGAATTTTCTTTCCCTCTTTACTGTCAGGCTGAAAATAATTTTCCAAGAATTGTGGGAACGAGGAATTCATTGGGATGAAGAATTACCTCAAGAATTAAAGGAAACCTGGAAGAACTGGTGCTCTGAAGTAGTACTCCTGAAGGAATTTTTCAATTGCAAGGAAATACTCTCCGACTAATGTGGAGATGATTGCAGATACATTGCAGTTACACATATTTTGCGGTGCCAGCCCTAGAGCTTACGGTGCTGTAGCGTATCTCAGATTTCAAGAAGGAGAGAACATCAGCACGAGTTTTCTGATGGCTAAAACCATTCTCCTCTAAAGAAACTGACACTACTGAGATTAGAATTAATGAGTGCAGTGATTGCAGACAGAATTGCCAATTATCTGAAAGATGTATTCAAAGTGACCAATATTTTACTTTGGTCAGACTCTTCCATTACATTGCATTTGATAAAAGGAACGGTGAAGGATTGGAAACCATTTATATCCAATAGGGTAGCTGAAATAAAGAACTATCATCAAAACTGGAATTATTGTAAGGGTGCGGATAACCCAGCCGATATACTCACGAAAGGAAAAAGTGTTCCAAATTTAATAAAAGACGTTAAGTGGTGGCAAGGTCCTCCATGGTTAATGTTACCAGATTGTTTATGGGCTCGAAGCAATTTGAGTGAAGTCAATTCAGAAGACTTGAAAACTGAAAAGAAAACTACAGTGCAGTTTGCATGTAATGTCACATCAATACCAGAACCAGTTCTCGATATAGAAAAATATAGAAAATTGTGAAGATTGTATCGAATTACAGCTTGGATAAAACGCTTTATACATAATGCGAGAAAATTTGGTGAGAAAAGAAGGTCCCCTAGCAGCTTTAGAACTGTCAGAAGCAGAAATTTATTGGATAAAAACTATCCAATCCCAGTATTTTGAAGAAGAAAGAAATCAACTGCTTAATGATCAGCCAATAGCAAAGGTATCGAAACTTATTGGTTCGATCCAGAATTAGATGAAAACAAACTGATATGCATAAAGAGAAGACTACAATTTTCAAAATGTGAAGTGAAAGAAAAACACCCATGGTTCATTCTTGGAGGAAACAAGTATGCAGAACTCTTAATTATGGAAGCGCGCAATAAGGTACTACTACATTCAGGAATAGCTGACACACTGGCTGGACTACGGAGCAAATATTAGATTCTCAGAGGAAGACAGAACGTTAAATCTGTACTCAATAAATGTTTAATATGCAGGCGATATAAGGTTCAACCTGCGGTGCAAGTCATAGCTTCGCTTCCAGCAGATCATGTTTAAGAATCTCCTCAATTCGGTGTGATTGGCATTGACTTTGCTAGCCCGATGTTTACAAGGGAAAACAAAGAAAAGCGCTATATTTTATTATGTACGTGTTCAGTCACGAGAGCCATTCATTTAGAACTAGTTCCTAATTTAAGTGCAAAAACGTTTTTACTTGCATTTCGAAGATTCATTTCACGACGCAGAATATGTTCTACTAGCTACTCCGATAATGCGAAAACTTTCAAAAGAGCAAATCTAGAACTGAAGGAAATGTGGAAGAAAATTAACCACCAAAGAAGTTAGAGGATTTTTCGGGAAAACTGGAATTCAATGGAAGTTTATCGTTGAAAAAGGAGCCTGGTGGGGCGGCTTTTATGAACGTCTAGTGAGAAATGTGAAAACATGCCTCAAGAAAATAATTGGGAAGTCGTCTCTTTCAATCGAAGAATTGAGAACTGTCGTAACAGAAATAGAAGCCGTAATAAATTCAAGACCAATTACCTATGTGTACAGTAATTCACAGGAGCTATCTCCTTTAAGTCCTTCGTATTTTCTTGTAGGGAAACGTTTGATTTCTTTACCACCCGTAAAATACGATAGCAATGTTAATGCAGATAGAAATAATATGATAAAATGATACAACTATCGACAAAATTTGTTAGATCATTACGGAAAAGATGGAAGAGCGAATATTTGCTAAACGTAAAATCTGCAAACTGTGTAACACCAACAAAGGTCAAAGGAGACTTTAAGGTGAATGATGTAGTCTTGATCGGAGACAACAAGTTGCCGAGAAATATGTGGAATTTAGGCAAAATTGTTGAAACGTATATTGGACGTGACGGTAAGATAACATATGATCGTGTAGTGTAAAACTTAAATCTGGTATAGTGAAACGATCAATACAAGCATTTTATATCCATTGGAAGCTTTCAAAATAGACTATATATGCTGATAAAATAAAGACAATTTGAACTTTAATATTTCATTTAGTATTCTATATATTATTCTTATTCTTATTAGTATTATTAGTTATTGTTTTGTTATCTATTATTGTAGTATTAATGTAGTATTTTCATTAT